GTGCCGGTGCTGACACAGGTGCAGGTACGGGCGCAGGCGCAGAAACAGAAGCAGGAGCAGGAGCAGACACAGAAGGAGCCGGGACAGGGGCAGGTGTAGAAACAGGAGGCGGGGCGGAGATGGGGGCAGGAGTGGGTGCCGGCGCCGGTGCCGGCGTGGAAACCAGGGGTGGAGCGGGAGTTGAAACTGGCACTGGAGCAGCAGTAGGAGCGGGTGGAGGAGCAGGGGTCGTCAATGGAGGTGCATAAGGACTTTGTCGCGGTCCTGGCACAGAGGCTGGGAAAGGCGCAGGCGGAATTGATGGGAACTGGAAGTGTTGAGGCGGATTTGGCACAGGTGGTGGACCTTGAGATGTGGGAGCATAAGAGTGGGCAATCTGTGGCATGTATTGTTGTGGAGCAGGCGTTGGGGGATGCGAGGCCTGCGGTTGCGGCGGAGGCGACGGGCGTCGCTTTTTTTCTTTCTCAACCGATGCGCCAGGTATCAATTGCCATGACCAACCCTTGCCATCTCGTTCTGCGTGCATGAACAGATGGCCGTTGCCATTGAGGTTATGTCGCACACTGGATGTCCAGCCCTCGGTCTCACACTTGAAGCGGAAATAAGGATACTTCAGTTTCAAGGCCCTGTAAATCTGTTTCAACGTCATTGGCGTGCCAGCTTCCGTCAAAGCATCAAAGATGAGAACAGCGTAGTTGTAAGGAGGCTTGGCCAAATCCTCTTGTGTGTAAGCAGACTCCGGAGGATAGTTGGGAGAAGGTGATCGTGATGGCTTGCGCTTCTTGACCGGCGGGGGCTTGACATATTCCTCTTGACGCTGTTCTGGAATCTGACCACCTTCCGTCGAAGGAAGAGGAGAATCCATGAGTGTTCCATCGGGCTTCTTTCTCTTGGTATACTTCCGCTTCTCCGCTGGTTTTGACGTTGGCGACTCAGGAACGACAGACTCTTTCGCGACTGTTTTTCCAGCCTTGGGTACCTTGAGAGGAGGCGGCGTGACACCACCGTTGGCTTCGCGCTTAGCGGCCATCTTCTGCTCACGGGCAAGTTCAGCTCGCTCGCGCTTAGACATGATGCCGTCCTTGGGAGGGCGACCAGGTCCGCGTCGGCGGGCTGGCTGCGATCCATTATCTGCCTCGATAGACTCCATTGCCTTCGAGGAATCTGTATCCTTCATCTTGAGGCTAAGCTTGGGCACCTTGGATGGTTCCCTGCTCTCCCCGCTCTCGCTCCCAAGCCTCTCTGATTCATCAACGTCATTATCGACTTCGATCGAAGCACGAGGGTCTTCATCCTCTCCCTCTGCATCCTCTTCTCCGTCTGGCAACTGTTCTTCCATCCTATCGGCGCCTGTTTCACCAATGGGAACATCTGGTAGCAAGAAGCGAATGCGCACACCGCCAATCTGAATATAATCACCACTGTGTAGCGGACGAACTTGCCCTGGCGATAGCCAGTCGGCTCCAATGAAAGCTCCGTTTCGACCCATTACTTCCATCTCGAACAAATTGCGGTCAAAGTTATATGAGATGCGAACATGCCTGCGAGATATACCCCGATGACCCGCGGCACTGCCGTCAACCGTCGTCGGGGGGTGGATAGGGATGGTGGGACAGGAATCAGGAGATGGAAGCAAAGCAAGCGTATCAACGGGCTTAGCATCACCATTTCCATCTTGTAGGGACTGCATCGCTAGAGCGTTGTAGTCTGTAGTCGACTGTAATTGGGCCGGGTTTGCATGCAGGGGTACAACGGCCTCGTCCACCGAGGACTTCGAGGATCGTCGACTGGGATTCATTCCACCCGGAAGATGCGGAGGAACGTCTGGATCGAATCCCATGATGCCTCCACTATCGCTGACAACGCTACCCATCATGGCAGCGCTTTCCTCCCGCTTCATACGGTTCGGGGTGTGTGATGTGTTGCCTCCACTCGAGCTCTTTGCTCGAGAGCTTCGCACGGCCTGCCGGAACTGGAACTCTCGATGGTGGGCAGCGCGCGCGGCTCGCACGTCTCGCCCGAGGATGAACGAGTAGGTATTGCAATAGAAATGCCCATCGTCAAACTCCAACTTGGCAAATGCTTGGATCTTAGGCTCCGACCCAGCAATTGATGTAGCTCCATCTTGATAACCCAGGGCCGAGAGGTCGGCGCCTTGCGAAAGGAAAGCGGCGGTGAGGAGTTCGTTTTGGTGGAGAGCCTCGAACGCATTTTTCGGGGCGGCGTTAAAGTCCAAGGGCGGCAGAAGGGAGGGCTGCTCCGTATCTAGTTTAGTGTTTAGAGGATCGGTAAGGGTGCCCATTGCATCGGACGAGGAAATTCCTGCATGGCCGAAATCCTGATGCGAAGGATTTGTTCCCATCATCTCATTACCCAGGGCCTTTCCGTTCAGCAAATCCTGAATCTCGCGCGATATTGACGGGTCTTGTTGCAAGCTTGGATCGATGGAGGTAGCGTGGGTATTTATATCGAAAGGCTGAGAATGATTTTCCTCCAGTTTGAAGTCCATGGACATATCGTGGTCCTCCTCTCCAAATTGCTGGGCAGTTGTTGGATTCGGCGCAGATTGATTGCCGAGGAGTTGAGCTAAAAGGGCGCTTGCAGCGTTTTGCGTATTGGTATCTTGTTGACGCTGCGAAGCTGAGATATCGTGGCTGTCCGAACATTCGGTCTTAATTCCGACATCTGTGGTTGGCATGCCCTTTGGCGTTGACGGGGCAGAATTATTCTGCATGTCGCAAATTGCGGAGTCGTTTCGGGGATTGGAAGGGGGCGTGGAGTTATGGGAGCCGCCATAGTCGTACATGGGCGAATCTGTACCTGGATCAGGTGGCCGGTGGCCCACAGCTGGCGCAGTCATGGTCTGCGACGACATGACAGGCTGGTGGAAAAGAAGGGAAGAAGGGAACAAAAGCTGAAGTTCTCACTTTGGGCCGGGCGGTGAAGACGGCCGAGTTGGTTGCTGCAGCTAGCCGTAGTGCAGGTGCCATCACCGAGTGTAGGCCATGGAGTACTTTTCTTTCTCGAGTTCTGCTCTTAAAGATCCTGATCTTTTCTCGAGGGGTAAGTGTTGGGGAACATATAAGGGAGAAGAAAAGTGACGATCCTCTCCGGGACAAATTTTCTTTCCCGCCCCGCCCAGTCCATCCCGATCCACTGGTTCACCGGTTTTGTTGAAGAGCTTCAGATCTATACAGGAGATGCATGTAGATTAGTTTTGTAGATATTCTATGCAGTGTTCTTCAGTTCTCCTTCACAATCTCCTGTTATACTTATATTCCCCTTGCCCTGGCAGTTCAGACCAGTGGAGTCGACCCCTCTCCTGATATTCAGTGGCTTGCCTCCACTGGAGGTTGGATAAGATGAGGGGGGAATAAAAGGCTAGAACAAACAGAGCCAAACACCTATTCTGTAAAAACTTCAAAGCATAGTATATAAGGAGGGACTACATACTGTAGGGGTAGGCGGAGAACATGAACTCATACATCAGCAACTTTACAGTCTACACTCTAAGCTATACTCTTATCGCGATAACTTAACATTCACGTCAAAAAAAAGCCACCTCCTCGCCCCTTCACCTCCCAATTCTAACCCCTATAAACCCACCAAAATGCCCCCGAAATCTAAAAAACAAGAACCCAAGCCACAATCCCGCCCAAAACAATCCCAATCCCCAAACTGGCCACCCCTCCGCCCCCTCCTCCCCGCCGCCGATCTAAGCCTGGAACCCCTCCTCCCAGACCAGATCTATCTAATCCGCAACTTCCTCCCAGGATCTCTCTGCAAAATCTACGCCTCATTCCTGGCGTCCCTCCCGCTGACGACAACACCAGGTAAACCGAAGAAGGATGAGGCGTTGCGGGTGAATGATCGGTTCCAGATTGATGATGCGCGGTTTGCGGAGATGTTGTGGAGTCAGACTTCTTTGAGGGAACTTGTTACGGAGAGGTTTGACGAGGCGGAATATGAATATGAAGATGGGGATAGCTCGCCCGCCCAGATCGCCGAGCGAGCGCGCAGACTTTGGGGTGGAGATCCGCTAGGGTTGAATGCCAATATTCGCATTTATCGCTATACAGCGGGTCAATTCTTTGGTCAGCACTGTAAGTCAAGTCAAGCATTCAATTCCAATTCAACTTCCAATCCCATTCCCAAGAGTATCTTCACCACTCCATAAACAACCCCAACCTAAACTAACAACTCAATTCCCAAACCAGACGACGACTCAAACAACATAACCTTTCCCCCATACCCCTCAACAGCAACCTCAAGAGCAACGCCTGCACGCACAACTTGGACCCTGCTCATATACCTGACCTCCTGCACAGGCGGCGAAACAGTCTTCTACCCGGAAGCCACGCGGGCGAACCGGAATCCGGAGCCGATTGTCGTTGCGCCGGAGGTTGGGATGGCGCTTTTGCATCGGCATGGGGATCATTGTATGCTCCATGAGGGGATGGAGGTTACTGATGGGGAGAAGTGGGTTTTGAGGAGTGATTTGGTTGTTCCTAGGTGATATATGTGTATGGATCATTCATGGATGGTTAGGGTTATGTTAGTGGTGATCGTGGGCTGGTCCCTACGGGGCCGGATATATTGCACTATCGGCGTTATTGTAAAACCAACGGGTTGAATTGAGTACTTTGTTTTAGTTTAGTCATTCTGGCTTGGGACTATCGGAATCAGGTACGAGTAACAAGTAATAATGTGACAGGGACGACAGTAGGTCACCTGTAGGTGGATAGGACGCGCATAAGCAGACAGGATTTAGATACAGTCAAGGTTCGTAAAGAGTGTAGAGATCAAGTGTGAGGGAGCTGAGTGGAACACAAGAAATGAAGAGAAAAAAAGCCCATGAGTTATTTGCGGTAGCAGTAGGCAAAACTCAAAGATGTGAATTGACGACACTCTCGTATGAGCAAAGTCGGAGTCTAATTCCCCGATTTCGGCTCTGAAGACACCCAATCCCTGAGATTCAATTTCATCGTATCATTTCACCTTCATTTGGAAACAGGAGACTTGGCAGCATCCAATTCATACTCGGCCCGTCTCATAATCTCCTCCACAGGTCCGAGAAGCCTCTTGAATCCATCACGGCCCAATCGCGCAACCTTGACTTCCGTCTTGGTGGTGATGCTCGCCGCACGGGGCTTGTCATCCAACAGCGCAAGTTCGCCGAAGTAGTCACCGCGGCTGTATTTCTTGACTGGTCCCGAGACACCGTTCTTGGTAGCTTCGGCCTCACCCGACTCCAGTAGGTAGAATGCGTCACCGGGGTCGCCTTCGTGGATGATGGTCGAGTTTGCCGGGTACTTAATTGTATCTAGGGCATCGGCGATCTTTGAGCGCTCGTAGGGCTTAAGAGAGGAGAGCAGCGGGACTTCCTCTAGGAAAGCCTCGTACATGCGACGTCGCTGGAATGCCGAGTCCATAAGAATTCGGCGGAAGGTAATGCGGTCCAGGGCCCACAGAGTACTCTTTGGGTCGGTGGAGATGACTGTCGCGGCACGAGGGGCGTTGTACATCAAAGCTAGCTCACCGAAGGAGCCTCCGGGTCCAGTCGACGCCACCTTGTTACCCAAGCCATCGGGGCCCGGCTGCACTGCGCCGGAGGGGTGGATGTAGATGTCAAAGTTACCTTTCTCGACGATGTAGAAGTAATCTCCAGCGTCGCCTTGGGAGATGACTTTGATATCCTTGGCCGGGATGGGCTTCTCGACCAGCGCATCCAGGACTGTCGTGAATTGATCGTCGTCGAGGTGGGAGAAGAGGAAGTTACTGCTGACAGCGGCCTTGAGCCGGGAGACCTGCTCCTCCGTCTTTGGGTGGCGGGGAGGTGTCCAGCTGTCCGAACCCGCTTCGGTAGGATTTAGAGATTCTGCCGACACAGAGGTCCGGCGACCCAGCGCGTAGTTATTGGGGAATCCTTGCTGTGCGGTCTGTCCCGGGAGAGGCGCTAGCTCGCCTTCTTGCTCGTCGTCGTCTTCGTCGCCCTGGAAGGGGCTTCTGCTGAACAGTGGTCCTCCAAATTGTGTCCCTCCTTCCGCGGCTGCGCTGCCTCCGAACAAGGCGGTGCCCACAGACGTGGCACCCGCGTTGTTGGCCTGTCGGAAAGTCATGTCGGTGGGTGACGTCACTTCGAACTCTTCATCCTCGCTGATTTTAGGAATTGGGGACTTCTCGCGTGAGTTGGTGTTCACTGATGGGGCTGACCCCGAGGTGTTCTGTGCCATATCGGTAGGGCCGGAGGGGCCGTCACTCCGGCCACGCTGAAGCTGAAGCTGAAAGGAATGGATATGTGGGGAGACGGTGTCTATGGATCTCTGAGAATTAGAGAACGGAGGATGAGGAGGAAAGAAGCTGAGCATGGGAGAGCAGTAGAAAAGAAAGAGGGGCAATGGTGGGGGAGACTAAGAGAGGTGTGTCTCGGGAGAGAATAAAAAGAAGCAAACAAGGACCTACCTGGAAATTGAGTCCGGCTTAGAGTAGAGTCAAGTTGAGAAGAGAGGGAGAAGACGAAGAGGGGTACAGCTTGGTCTGAGCTTTCGTCGATCACTCTACTTTACTTAGGTCGACGTCACTTAACCAACTTATGGAGAACCCAATAAGAGAAACTACATGTATGACTCTGGGATCCAACATCCATGCACATTTCGTTCCAAGTGTCTTCTAGAAAGCCGGACCGTATTGATGATCATTGCACCTTTGCCACCCACACCCCGTGGCGAATAGGAGCTTGTAGTCACTTATCCGCACCCTGCCGCTTTCAGAGTCACAGTGGGGAATCTGCACAATTCTTTGGAACTGGCTACATTCTGTAGATTTGGAGATATTATAGACGTTATCTGCATGTAATACCTTGCTTCCTTGTGAAGCGGCAAATATCCTATTTTTACTGGTGCAATTAGGCAGACTATATGCCCCTAACCCCTGATATATGTACACGGCACTCCGTGGCTGCAAATAGTAAAATGTAGTAAAAAGTCTAGCATTATGTGCCCTAAGTGTACGGAATAGATAGATAGTGGAAGATTCACCGTTCCTTGACCGGAGGGTCTGTGTCACCCCCCACTGCTTTAGTCTTTAAGACGATCATTCCTTTCCTTCCCAATCTTCCAAGGTTCTTCCCAACCTCTTAATTTTACCTTCCTTTCTGTCTGAATTGCTGGAGATGGGAAAATTCACATTCAAGTGGTAAGTCATATGTCTTTTTAAGGGGGAGAGATGGCTCTCTTAAGAGTAATCTCCTCGAACTCGAAGCTGTGGCACATTAGGTCGCTGACCGGTTACTTGCCTTAGGCCCAACAATGCGAGCGAAGTGTTCGTGACAGGCACTTTCGATGATTGGGGTAAGACGGTGAAACTGGACCGGGTAGGCGACATCTTTGTCAAGGAGGTGTCTCTGGCACCTGAGAAAACCCTTTACAAGGTGAGAGCTCTCTGAAGCGGTGAGAACCTGGAAGCCTTCTAGGCACCTAGCCTCTCCACTGACGTCACATGTGTTTCCCCCAACTACTTAATGTCGCTATGACTCTTGCGACGCTATCTCCTTGTTCTACTTATTTTATTTACTGACTTGAATAAGTTCGTCGTCGACGGTACTTGGACCACAGATAGTAGTGTGCGACAGGAGAACGACGGCCACAACAACTTCAACAACGTCCTCCTACCTGAAGAGATCGTTGACTCCACCGACGCCCCGATGTCTGGCGTCACTCCAGATTCCACTACCGCGGCACTTGCTGCCAATGTGCCCAAGGAGCCAAATGGCAACCTGCCTGGCACCTTCCCTGACACTCCCGGCCAGGAGACTGAGCAGACCTTGTCGGTGGATCCCATCCCCGCATCAGGCGGCTATGGCAACCCCGTCAAGCTGGCGCCTGGCGAAAAGGTCCCTCACTCGAGCGAGCTCCACAACAACACTGTGGACTCCACTGTGAACCTGGACAAGGAGTCATACGAGAAGGGCCAGACTCTTCCTGTTGGCGGAAACCCAACCAACACGTCTGACGCCAACACTTCGGACGGCAGCGCTTTCGCATTCACCATTCCTCCCGTCACGAAGAACATGATACCCGAATCCAGTCTTCCCATCGGGGGCCCTGCGCAAAGGGCAGCTGCTAATGACAATGAGCCCACCTACTCCGGTGGTCCCGCCCAGCAGGCAGCAGCGGCTGACCCTGGATACACCATCCAATCTGCCGCTCCCACCTCTACCACGGCTGCATTGGCTGCCGACGTTCCTCTGGAGTCGAAGGGCAAGCAGACTAACGGCAACAAGCCTGTTGAGGAGGTCCCCGAAGTGGTGAAGGACTCTCTCGCCGAGGCCCACCAGGACCCCGAGGCTGCTGCGAACCAGGATGCAGTCGACGAGAAGAAGAGATTCGAGCAGGAACTTCACAAGAAGGTCGATGTCGAGGAGTCTGCAGGCGCCCCGGCACCAACTGTGACTGCGGCCACCCAGCCCTTCGCCCCTCACCTGACTCTTGCTAGTGGTTTTGACTCGTCAGATGTGTCGCCGACTTCAACGCCTCCCCCTGGTCGCAATGCTGCTGCCGCCGCCGCTCCCACCTCGGCACCCAAGACCGAGCCCAGTGGCCCAACTGTGACCACTGGTGTGGAATCTGCCCCGACTGATGAGACTACCACCGCCAAACCTGCCGGTCCCACAGTGACGACTGGACCTGAGACTACCAAGGCACCCGAGACCTCAACCCCCAAGCCCGCGCAAGAGTCCAAGCAGTCTCCCAGTACTGAGGGTGCTTCTACTAACGGCGACAAGAAGAAGAAGCGTCTGAGTGGCTTCATCCACAAGCTCAAGGAGAAGTTCAAATAAATGAGACATGCCCATTTGGTCTGGTTGGGGGCTCTTAGATGGCTGCAAAAGCTGACTCGCCTTGTTTTGACTCTTTGTTTGATACCTCCCACTGTTTTATCGCATTGTATTTCCACGCCGCTTTTTTGTTAATGTCTCGGCTGGTAATCGTCTAATGGAATCCTTTTGGCTCGGCAGTATTGACCAATTTCCATCCCGAAGTCGGAGCCTGCGTAAAATGTAGTACAGAATTCGGAGCATAACAAAGAGACGTATACAGTATTCCATAACTAAATTATCTCTGTATCTCTACATTCTGTTTATCTCTATACATCTAACTCACAGTATTAGTGTTTAACTTGTTTTTGGTAGGGTGGGGAGAACTGGGTCATTTCCTACTTCCGCGTTCTCCACCTCAACCTTTCCCCGACTTTGGCCCTCTCTCTCTCTCTTCTTCCTCCCTTGCATCCTGCCGAGCCCTCGAATTCTTGACTTCGGGGTCACTGGCCACTGGTCTCTTCCTCAACCATGGCAACCCCCACCCTCTCCGCCATGATCGATCCGACCAAGCAGGCCGAGTACCCAATTGTGCTAGGCGAGAGACTTGCACAGAGGTTGGACACAAACAGCCTGGTCAACATTAACTACAACTACAAATCCAAGTCTGCCACCCCACAACAGCGCTCAACCATCACCCCCTCCCAATCGCAAGATCTCTACGACCTCTCTGTCACCGATAAGGCCCCCAACGCCGATCACACACTGGCCTGGTCATACAAGGGTAGTGAGGACCCGTCGAGCGAACAAAACCTGGTCCTGGTCTTCGACCCGGAGCGCAAAGTCTTTGTGCTTGAGCCGGTCTCCACAACTTTCAATTTCAATCTACGCTCGGCGCCAGGAAAGACGGAAAAGCAGGTCCGCGAACAGTACGAACAACTCCAGATAAAGTATGAGGATGAGCCGACGACTTCGGGTGAGGACCGCCATGCAGGGGATACCAGCGACGATGAGGGCCCCGCCGACCCAGACAACCCATATGACTGGCGACACTACCTTCCCAAGAACCGCGGGCCGGGTAATAAGTACTGTTTACCTTCGCATAACACTACTCCGGAACCTTCTATTGCAAGCCGGGCAAACACGCCCGTGATACCAGCCGCCAAGCCCGTCGCAAAGCCACTGCCTCGGCCAAAGGCACAAGCGAACCCGCTACGACAGCAGAAGCCAGCCGCGAAACCGCCAGCTGCGAAACCACCCGCCGCCAAACCTTCCCCAAAGCCAGCCGAGCCGGTCAGCCAGCCTGCTAGCCATCCCACTAGCCAGCCTGACACGCTTGAGATTGAAGATTCTCGCTCGTCACTGTCAGATGCTGAAACGGGATCTCAACAAGCCGGCCAATCACCAAGTTCAAATATCATCATTGACGGCGATCTCATTATCGACATGGGCTCTCCACCTCCGTCCCGCTCCTTCAGGGTCAACCCCGCATACTTTTCATCAAACAATACACCCGCCGACGGCGAAAACGGTGAAGAAGAAATGGGCGAATTCAGACTCCCCTCTCCAGTCGGAACAACCACCCATCCGACCTCCTCAGCGCCGACAGGCACAACAACCCAAGGGGACGAAGTCGAAGATGACGATGCCCTGGCTGCAGAGATGGAAGCCGCTTTCGAGGAAAGTGCCCGGGAAGAGGAGGCTCGCAGCCATCAGTACAGTCAGCCCACCGCTTCCAGGCAATATGTTCCCAGTGATGATGAGAGTGAGGTCAGTGAAGAGGAATAGTGCAGTGTACTATTTTCTTGATTGTACAAGAAGGGTTTTGTCTATTGCATCAATCAGCGTGGCGCTAGGTCGGACTTTGATTCCAGAATACGAGATACCAATTGCTTAGGGACTTTTTTTGTCTTGATTATTTTTGAACGATATGTCACCTTATCAATATCTGATTTGTATTATTGCTTTTCTGCGTGGTGTTGTCTTTAGCTTTGAAACATCCTTGGAATTGTATTAAGTGAGTTGAGGCTGAGATTCTTTATTTGCAGTTTTCTCATCTGAGAGACAAAGAGAAAATCGTATCACTTTTAGATTTGTACTCAGCCAGAATAGTCCAACACTTCTACGTCTCGCTATAATTTGACAGCTCATCGTCGCTACCTACCTCCTACCCTGCTCATACCTCAACTATATAAATACCTTTATCTCACCTCCACCTCTCTTTCCTTCATCAAATATCATCTTCTCCCTCAACATCTTCCTTCCTTATATATCGTCTTCCTTTATTATATACCATCTTCCTTCTACCGACCTTTTCTCCATTCCATCTTCTCTCCTTTCATTCACGACTCCTCAAAAGTCACCCAATTATATATCTCTGTCAAAAATCACCTGGAAGGACATTCTGAAGCCACAGGACGACTCAACAATCAATCCCTGACATATTTTTCACTTTTTCCATTCCCGAGCAGACTTCGAACTTGCTCACAAAGTCCACTCATGACCTGCCATACTTGAATTGAAAAAATGGTCTTTGGGGACGACATAGGCCTACAAGACATTTCCCCGTCCATGAAGCCTCATGACTGAGGCTCACCGTTATGTCCGCAGCGTTGCCCCGACGCTAATCCTGGTGCCGGATGCCCTGATCAATACGTGGATTACAGAGGTGGAGAAGCATTTCGGCGACTCTTTGACGCTAATCATCTTCTTCGATTCCAACACTGGAGACCGGCGCCGCAAGCTGGTGGAGCTCCAGAAACCCCTCGATAAGCTCGACCTCACCGTCCGTCCACCGGTACAACGGTTATCCTGTCGTCCTACCAAACCTGTGCCCGTCGTACCACCCGCGAGATCGATCTTGAACAGAGAATGAGATCAACTCTGTTGGTATTCGATTTGGGGACCACGATTGCGGGGACTCGCAACCATGAGAGAGCCAAGAGAGTCTTCACCACTGCGTCAGCTATTCTGTTACTGCGCTAATCAGACGCGTCGTTTGTCAAATCGTGAGACAAACAAATCTCGCCATTGAGCCAACATTGCGTTTGCGGACTTCAATTACGATACTACATTGGGGAAGACCACAACTGAGACTGTACTGTCACCGGGTGGCTTGGCCAGACAGCAGACAGCTTTAGTCGGGTTCCGTGACCCCAGTTTTCCGCTAGAGACGGCAGGCTAAAGATGAAATGAACCGTTCTTGACTTGACTCTTCCCCTTTCCTCCTCTGACCTTCACTACAGGATCGCCTATATAGGAAGCAGGAATTCAGTTATTAAACATTCCCCCGGGAAACGCGCTAAAATGGCTCTCAAAAGACCCTTATTCATTCGAGCCGTTTTCGAGCCATTTTAGAGTCTACTAAGTTAGTCTGAGACAATTAATATCCTCAACATTGGACGGCTTGCGGCTAATAAGGCTGATGTGGCTGTCGGAGATAGGCCGGAGCATCACGCAGAAGATCCAATTGAATTTGCAGCCTGCATGTATTATTTATTGGGAATCCTGCAGTGTTTCGGCTATACTATATTCTGGTGATTTTTGTCCAGAAGGATCTTGAGGAGATGTGATAGGCCATGGCGTCGTTAATATCATTCTTGGCGGGGGCCGCTCAGGTACCCGCAGACTGCGAGGCAGGGGTAATTAATCCTGCTATGGGTCTTTTTCAATTATAGATGTGTTTGCAACCTTTTTACTCTGAGCATTCTATCCAATTATGCCTTGGATGTAACTTAGTTGTAGTGTCTGTTCGAATGATATAAGGCATCTGTCTAGAATGGATACTTCGCCCAATATGGCAAGTACAAGGGTCTGTGGAGCTTTGTACTATAGTTTCACCTCTATAGTAAACGCATTGAAGCGAGGTGGCAACCTCAACAAAATTGATTGTGTACCACGTTGAAAGCTTTTACTCAAGATAGTATAGCATGGTGGGTCGTTGATTTTAGCCTTAACAGGTTGGGTTCGTTTGTCCATGCCAAGACTCTCTACAATCTGCCTTACAAGGTTTACTAATAAATTGCACTAGTGAAAGATTCGTTCCTTGGAAGGATGAAGCGCATAAATTATGGAAGCTAGCTAGACACTAACTAATTTGGTAATAATACATGTAAGCCCTGGATGCTGATGCTGACAGCAGATGCGCGAGTTCCACTTACCTCCATGGAGGCTATGCAGCGAAGATCAAACTCACACGTTGGGGGCCAAAATTACAATGCAATAAGAAGTCTTATTACCAGCACGATACGGTATTTTGCAGGGTCTTGGAATGGCACCAATATCACATCCCAGAAGCAATTAACATTGTTTTCTTCTTCTCTCTCTGATATTCCTCTGGTTTAGATCTACAACACATCACTCCACTGATCCACTGCTGATCCACTGTTATGGTATGTTCCAGTCGTACGATGAGTATTATTAATATGGCAGTTATCGAGCTACAACTGTCGCTCTGTTCACATGTATAATGGTCTACATTCCTTCAATCCTCGAGCCTATTCATCGTTCTGCTTAACCTCTAAGCTCATGCAGTCTGTGATAGTCTGCCGGTAACTCAGTTGCCCCAGAGGTCGATGACATACCCTCCAATTCAGTGGGTTTTCCATGACTATAGGTCTTTGGCGTCGACGCATATTCACTGGGAACCTGCTGGAGACTCCCCTGGGACTTCCTCCGCCGTAGCCAGAAGAATGCGCCGATAGCAAGGGCGATGGCAATCACGCCAACGGAGACACCAACACCGACACCGGCTTTTGCGCCGGTCGAGAGACCTGAACTACTTTCCCCCGAGCTAGGCGCTGAACTTGTCGTTGCAGCCGCGGAATTAGTTGCCGTTGTGGAACTTGTTGCTGTCGTGGGCGTAACATCTACCGATGTAGAGACGGTATCCGACGACTGCCACGCAAGACCGACTGGCATTGCATGGTATACGGGATTGGACCAGGTGATTGCCGTTGTAGTGGTGGGTGTCACGCCAACGACCTTAAACGTGATAGTTGTAGGGACATCAGTTGTTCTGATACATGGCTCGGGTGTGTACCACGCCAGAGGGCTTGCGGTTGCAACGGTGAAGCCACTAAAAGACATCCGAAGAAGCTCATGTCAGTTTGCAAGCTGCTTATAGAGATAGAAATCATGATCGCATACCTAGGACAACATGTCGCCCGAGTCTCGCTACTAGCAGCACCGTATGAGGCCAGTGTAGTGGCCGCGATGGAATATCCACTCGGACAAACCAGCCCCGGCGAGAACGTTGTCGCTGAGGTCGCCCAGCCAGGTGGATAACATTCTGATTCAGTCGCGCGTACTATGTTATACACACCCTGGCATGTAGTCCCCAAACAATCCGAGGAAACCCAAGAAAAATTGTCGCAGGAGCTTGGTGGAGTGAATAACGTCGTCAGTGGAACGTTGGATGCGGGGGTGGACGCAGAGACTGTCGTGGTTGTCATGATGGGCTATCAAGCGTGATGCTTGCCAACATCACCTGCAAATTCTTCTAAGGCTTGGATCAAATGTCGAGCACCTAAGCCTTCGGGAGGTTGGGGAATGCGAGAGCATTGTCATCAGCTGAGGTCGTCGAATACCCGGGGGCCGACTTTGCAGTACTTTTCCTATTACAACCTAGTGGTCATGCAAGATGTTTACTTAAAGAAAAGATCAGCCCGGGTATTCAGCTGGGTGCTGTACATGTACATAGCCAGACAATAAGTTGACGTTGGTGATGGGCCTGTCTGCACTTTGTCCTTATGTGAATGTCTTGTCTTAACTTTCATGGCTAGTTTCGTTTGCAAGCTGACATTGAATCCTGGTGGAGATGTCAAGGCGAGTCGGGCCCCTGAATCCTGTGAAATGTGAATACAGAAACGGACCCACCACGCCATTTCCACTTGAAATATGTGACCATACCTGTATCTTGAGTTTTGACGAAGATGATTGCAGGCTTATAGATAAGTTACTTCGTCCCTGGGCATGGATTAGGCTTAAATATGAAGAAAACTGATCCGATCCGCTGTGTGATTGGTTCTTAGATGATTGGTGTACTGTAATCAATTCATAATCTATTGATAAGAATGGAATATGACCGGACTATGAAGATGCAAGGGAATAAGAAGGATTATGGCGGAAGAATGGGGAGAATGGCGACACTACATGCGTTGAGCCTTCGGCAAGTGAGCTGTCAGGGGAGGATGGCTGCCGCCACGACCGCCACGACCGCCATGGCTGTGAATGCCAAGACTTGCCAAGCAGAGGGCCAGATATCCACGAAGGGTTTTTATTGACATGGAAATAGTGTGAGAAATCATAACTTTTATGCAAAATACTTCGTACCGAGTGTACGGGTCTCCGTGTCAGGTCATATCTGCACTAGACCAGCAATTTTTCGGTCCAATGTGGGGGGTTCATGACTCAATATACAGTAGAGCCAAGTCACTCATGTGAGACACTTCTAACGCTAAAGTCTCGGAGGCTGACTTGGCCATTGGGACTTTTTGAGAGCATGTCCGAGGGTGTAAGCAGGAGTTAAGTTGCAGTATATCCATTGAAGTGAATAGGGAAACTGACGTCAAGTTCAATCAATTTCAATTGTTGATCTTAGCCAGAGGGGGTTTAAACTTTAGAAGCCTATCCACTAGTAGTTCACATTAATGCAGGTACAGAGATGCTGTATATTTACTCTGGGGAGCCAGTTCGCATTAGGGAAGAGTCTAGATTAAGAAGCCAGTTCCTCGGCACGCCAGATGGTCCTAACATACGGACTAGTACTCCGTTTCCATTGTTTATACGTAGTTAGATGGTACCCACGATGGGCCTACCAACATTGCAAATAATTTCGGTCGATTTTTACGAGAGAAGCTCATTTACCCTGTAAGGTTGGTGGGCTGAAGCACCGAGTCCTTTGCGTGAAGTCACGACGTACCCTCCTGCTAAGAGATAACTTACTAGGGCTGGAATGTGATGACTAGGTCGACTTACAGTATTCGAATGCTTGTTTTAAAACCGGAAAATATGTATCTCATAGACAAACCAAGTGTGTTTTCATCTAACGTCAATTTCTGATGTACAGCTTCAAAATTCAACACTTGCCGATTCATCGAGTAACACTTGCATGGCGTTCCATGGGTCCATCGTAAGTTAGGGGCTCCGCCTGAACCTAGTAAATCAAGAAGAGTAATATACATGTACCAAAATCAGCGTATCTTTAGTGCAGTAACTTAAATAGTGTCTCTGACAGTACCTATACATGAACGGAAGGTTACGATTTCATGTATGACATAAACTTGGTCTCTAGCAGTATTTTGAACATTCAAGGTTTCAAATATCCAAGCTCCAGGGGAACTTAGACAAAGTCTCTAATAGTTCTAGTCGCGCCTCGACTTGACTGACCGCCATTCTATCAACAAACTCCCAACCATCGTCGCACACGCCAGCCCAACCACCAAATACCATGTCTGGATGAGACTTTCGTCAATTGCAACAAGAACATCTCTAGACTTGGCCGGTGGTACGCTCGCCACAATCTGCGTTAGGCCCATGTTCTCGATATTTGTTCCGCCCAGGCCTGACACAAGACCATTTAGATTGACCGAGAGCTGATTTAAAAACAGGACCTGTGCAACTGCAACCGCCACAGTTGGTCCAAATGACTGTGCAAAAAGTATTATAGATGTGCCAAGCGGGACGTCCTCTACGGGTAACACCGTTTGGACGGCATTCTGCGGCCCTGAGAATCCGATGCCGTAGGCAAGACCTGAGAAACCGGTGTATATGATCAGTTGCGCAAAGCTAGTGTTGATTTTGAAAGTCGTTATTAGGCCTGCGGCAATGGGCATGATAATTGAGGCAAAGACCATAAATGGCGCGTAGTAGCCGAGGACGCTCGTCCCGAAGCCGTGGACCAGCGCACCAATAGTTCCAGCGATGATGATAGGCAGCATCATGTAGCCGCTCTTGGCGGGAGTATATCCACGGACGACTTGATAGTAAGTAGGTAGATAGTATTCGAGCACATTGCCAGTGCTGTTGCCACACATGATGAAGATGAATCCGGCGATGACGCTGCGGCGCTTCATAATACGTAAAGGGAGGGCAGCCGCATCTCCGCGGCGTTTTTGATTGTAGATAAATGCTGTTATGAGAACGCCAAAGGCAACCAGAGGACCGATCACTAGGCCACTGTTCCAAGAATGCTTGGTACCAGCCCATGAAAATGCGAGAAAGAGGCCAGTCAGCGCGGGGATAAGAAGCAGGTTGCTAACCAGGTCGAGTTGTAAAATCTTCTGCTTTAGTGTCATACTGGCAACATCATTTGGTTTCGGCGTATCCGAGAAACAGCACATCGTCAACAATAGTGTAGTGGCACCTATAGGCGCATTGATATAAAAGCACCATCGCCATCCAAGTGACTGCATAATAGCTCCACCGAGGAGTGGTGCGGATAGCGTAGCCAGGCCTTCGATGGCGCTCATCACGCCGGTGACCATAGGCCGGTTTCGCAGAGGTGTTGATTGTACAAGGATGACGAAGCACCCTGAAAGAAGACCAGCAGAGCCTAGTCCAGCTATCGCCCTCCCAATGATCAGCATTATCGATGTATTGGCCGCTCCGCAGAGCAGCGAGCCTGCTACCGAGATGACATTGGCAAGCAAGAAGACGCGCTTGATAGAGAAAAGCTTGTACGCCTTGCCGAACATAAATTGGAAAGCGCACTGGCAAAGCCTGAACGCGGAGGAATACCATCCGACATCCGCGACTGTGTGGAAGTAGTCTGTAATGCGAGGCACTGCCGTGGCGACAATGTTCATATCTATGCTGCTTAGCACAAGGGCCCCAGCCAGGGTGAGCATGAGGAGCGAATACTTTGCGCCAGTTAGGTACTCGGCTTCTCCAGGCAGGCGGACGGGATCAGATCCCTCATTGACGGTGGTCTCCTGCGTGACGTGGCTAGACCGGCTTGTCGAACCACCTAGTCTATTGCCGTCTGCATCGCTCGTAAGGTGGGTCATCGCATGCCCCGTGTTGTATATGACTTCTGCCATCGTTAATTGATGGTGGTGTTAAGGAAGGCAGCCTCGGATACTAGATGTGAATGGATAAGCCCCCAGCGAGCAACGCAACAAGAGGCATTGAGGCGCTCAGTCACTTCTGTCTAGGACCGCTATCATGTGATAGCTTACAATACATGTCAGTATTTGAAGACAGAACTAGCGTCAAAAAAAGACCATCTATATAGCAGCTATAAACCACTCATATAACATAGGTTATAGATGCGTATATAGTGCTATGAAGTATAGGGCAGTTTCTACACAGAGTACCTCAAGTTTTAGTTATTTCAAAATGGTGGGTTAACCATATAGATGACATACAAGTAGCGATGTGAAAGGACTTATGGCTATGACTGTACGCTTACAAGATATCAGTAATATAATTAACTACAATAAGATACCGTATTTACAAGCGTTTGAGGGTAGCGATATTTAGGGCGATTTCTTGCCACTTGTATAGACGAGTGTGCCCTAGCATCATGACTCGAGAAACAATTAAGAGTGTAAATAGTAACAACAATCATCCAATTTGTGTGCTCTGTCATACAATGCTCTCTCCCTGAGCAACTAGCTCAATATGCCTTGAATATTCTGTAATTGGAACCACTTCCGCTGTCACTGAGCCCCCTGGAAAGAAAAGGAGCCTCCAGGTATTGAGACTACGGCAAAATAGGTAACTGAACCTGACCTGGCAACGTCTAGGCTCATCAAAATTGTCTTCCGATCAAATAAATTATTAAAAGCCCATGGAGATTTGGACCCCCAAATTCAGCCCCACGGGGCGGTATTTGCAATACAGCATAAAATTTGATCCTATACTTCACTCACCAATCATAGCCAAATCTGTTGTACCTAACCGATCTGCCTATCTTCCAGGCACCGAAACAATCTCAGCGCGGCTTCGAAGCACGCAACCCACTCTAAGCAAACTAGCCCTAAACGAGGTCTACTCATGTTCACTTCACTGCCCTCCGCCTACTCCACCCAACAAGTTCCGCTAGGCGACCCCGATACGACAGCTGCCAAGATATAGTATTCTAATTACGAAGGATTCTGTCTTTGGTTTGATTAAAGGAGATAGGGGGCCGTGGGATGTCCTTTTCCTTTCTATTTGGCCCCCATAACGTAGTCGCGCCCAACGACTATAAATGAGACCCTCAAGCGCAGTATTCTATTGAGTTTTCATTTTCCCAAAAGATCAATCTCCATAATAATCATGGAAGTAGGCCTCGGCATACGCCGCCGAATGATGCAGGTTTGCATCGTCGGTCTGACGCTGCTGGCTGTCACTTTGGCATTCCCTTCATCCACTAGTCATCAAGCCCATCAGCGAGCATTCCTCGGTTCCTCAAAGCTACAACCTCGCAGTGACAAGCCATTCGCTTTGCGTGTTTTGCCACTTGGTGCTTCAATCACTACCGGTTATAGGTCGGAGGATGAAAATGGATACCGTATATATCTGCGCAAGCAGCTTCGATATACCGGATGGGAAGTGAATATGGTTGGATCCCGCAAGGATGGAACCATGAAGGATCGTGTAAGTTGACTGTTGATGGATTGAGCTTGCGAGATCGGTACCTGACATGCCATCTTTAGGACAACGAAGGTTGGGTCGGAAAGCGAATTGAGGAGGTGGCCACATATGCTGAGAGAAGCATCCCGAAGGCTCCAAATCTTATTCTGATCAAGTATGGCTACCTGATACATGCTGAGTTTAGGATATGCTGACTGGTTCTTTTATAGCGCTGGCACGAATGATGCTCTGCAGAACTTCGACGTCCCTAACGCTGGAGTCCGGATGAACCAGATGCTCACTCGTCTGTACGATACTATTCCTGGAACAACCATCATTTTGTCGACACTTCTACCTAACAACAATGAGAAAGCGCAAGCCAACTCGGTCATAATCAATGAACAATACCGCAACATTGTGGCTGCTCGCCAGAAGAACAATGACCGTATTGTTCTGGCTGAGATGAGCGACTTTATCAAACATACAGATCTTCTGCCCGATGGAACTCATCCAACCGGGCCTGGATACGAGAAGATGGCCTCGGTGTGGTGGGCTGCAATCCAGGAAGCTGAGTCCAAAGACCTTTTGCAAAAGCCTAAGGATATTGGGGAGAATGACTGGACCGATACTACCTGTGAGAAAGAGTATGGCAGTGGAAACGGTGGTGATGGAAAGGTCCAAACTCAACGCGGCAGTGGCTGGGACGATGGTGACTATAAGCATAATTCAGTGTCTATGGGACAACTCATGCAAATTGGTATCACTGACAAAGAGGACGATGTCCATCCTGGTATCCACTACGCTCAGCTGGTTAACCAGGGAGGTGCTCACCGTGAGGGAGCTTTGGATGAGCTTGTCTGGACTCGGGACGGCAAAGGCACCTTCATGTTCGCGAATAACAACAACGGCAAATTTGGCGCTCCAGTCAAAATTGACGTCAAGGACGGTTGTCTTGCGCGAGGTGAGCACCCTATATGATTTGATTCTCTTTTCCGGTTGCATTCTAATAGTGAAATTAGGTGTACACTGGGGTGACCTCAACAATGATGGACTGGATGACTTCATCTGCATCAGCAGAGAAGGCGCCATGTATGTATCAATGAATTTGGGTGGGAGTCCCCCTCAATTCAAGTCCATCGGTCTAGTCAGAGCTGCACCTGGCGGGGATCTAGCCCAAACCAATGTCCGACTCGGCGATATCGATGGCGATGGCCGTATTGACTACTGTCTCGTCAAAGGAAACGGTGACATTCAGTGCTGGAGAAACGGAGGTCAAAAAGATGCCCCAACAAGTGAGTTCGGTGGCTACTGGCAGGACTTGGGAGTAGTCTTCACTGGAAAAGGCATGGGTGACATTGATGGTGTCCGTCTTGTCGATATCAATGGAGATTTCCGTGCCGACTGGCTCTGGCTCGACGACGAAGGCAAGGTCACCACGTACATCAACCAGCGTGGCACGGGAAAAGGGAGTCTGGCACCTGATTGGCGTCGTATTGGTGTCACTCATGCAGGAATGGGTGTCAAGGGCGCTAGAGATCGAATCAAATTCGGCCAAATTTGGCAAGGAGGTGGTGCCGACTATTCCTGGATTGAATCTATGGAAAATAAGCCCACTTGGAATCACTATACCCACGTGTGGAAGAACGTCGGAAAAGGAGGGACTACCTTGAAGGGTGAGTCTTAGGTCTCTTTTCCTGATCCACTTAGCTGACATGACTGAGCAGGCGATGGCGATTTCTATTGTGACTGGCGAGGCACAGGCGCAGATGATTATGTGAGTTTTCTCTTCAGACGTCCACAATTTAACTTCTCAGTTATTGACTGTCTCTTTAGATCTGGATATCTCCTAATGGTCGTGGCTTGCTCTACGGCAACGTTCACAATCCTCCGACTTGGGTCCCCGAGGGACCGCAAATCTTCGACCTAGGCAGAGAACGAAAGGGAATCCATCTTGCGGATTTTGATGGTGACGGCAAGGTACGTGTCAGATACGAGCTGGGAATCTTTTGACTGCATCATCTAATAAGCTTCAGTGCGATGTTTGGGCCGTCAACCGTGAAACTGGTGCCGCAGAGGTGTGGATCAACCACTGGAACGACGAGATTGGCAGTGGCTTTTTGGACTATAAGGGATTCGTTACTGGAGACGTCAAATGTACCGAAGGATGGGGAGTTGGGCTATTTGACATCGGTGTGAGCATGGCTGATCTCGAGTTTGTCTTCTCATTCTCTCACACTCGACATGATACTGACTAGATGTAGTGGTGACGGGCGTGCAGACTACCTGTGCATGGAGTAAGCCTCACAAAGCCATTGATATAGCACCTGACTAACACTACTAGACCTGATGGACGAACGGTTGGATGGCTGAACAAGGGTGTAAATGACTTTGAAGCTAAAGGCCAAGTGAAGCGCACTCAAGGGTATGATCGAGCGAATCACAAATGGGCTGATGTAAACGGTATGTCCTCTCTACAATTCTAACCAGTCAAACAGAGAACTCATCAAGCTCTAGGTGACGGTGCTGTTGACTTCCTCTGGGTGGACAAGTTCAATGGTGATACCAAAGTCTGGGTCAACATGGGTGATACTCCTACCGCTGGATCCAGTTGGAAGTGGGAATTGCTTGATGGGCCTCGGTATCAGGGATCAGATCGAGGAGTAAGTACAGTGTTCATCGATCGTGAGGAAATTGTCTGATCCAAGCACCAGGCGAATCTATATTTCCCAAACATCGGAGGGTTAGGTCGTGCTGATATGCACAATATCATCCCCCGAACCAACATCGTGAGTTTACTGATCTAGTCATCACAATGGCAGCCACTCATCATCTTAGGCATACACCTGGTTCAACACATGCCCTGGGAGTGATAGCTCAGCTGTAGATGACGTCGACCCGTCTACGAATCCCAATCTACCCGCATACACGGCTCCTGATCAACCTATAGCCACAGGCACCGTTCCCATCCCGACGCCAACTCCCAAGCCAACGGACGCAGCTCCCGATGGTTATTAGTATGTTCGGACTACATTGCAATCTGTAACCCCACTAATGGACAATAGTGAACATTGGCCCGTTGATGACGACAGTCTCAACCACCGCATATGCAATGATCTCGGTTATCCGACCAAAAAGCTGTGGGATGAAACTGATGCTGGAAATTGGTTGGTTACCACGTATGTCTTGGTTCAAATTTACCAGTCTACACTAAATCTAACTTCTTGAAATCAGAGCCGGTTGGTATCAAAAGCTTGCTCTCTCAACCGATTTCAAGTGGGAGGGAAGCATTGTCCAGACATTTGCTTCATTCAAGGGAACCAAAAAGGAAGACAATGCAAGCGAAAAGAAATACATCTGGAACTGTCCCAAGTACGTTTTCTTTCGTCTCAAGGTCATTACTGTCGCTAACCTGCATGCATCAGTCTCAGTAATAATTGCGAGATTGAGAATTTAGACGAGCAGCTGAAGTGTGAGGATGGTAACGTATACAGGGTACAGGCTCTTCATGCCATGCTCAACTTGGCACAATATTTCGTGCTCATCAAGAACAGAATGGAGTTGGCCTGGGGTAGCATGAGCTTCAAGACCGCTGGGCTGGTCACAAAGTACTCAAAGACAAGTGATGAAGAAACCACTTTTGGTGCAGACTCGGGAGCGACTATCGGCGCTGGACTGGCAAGCATATTTGGTGCTTTCATGCTAGGCCCTATGGCAGGCATTGCCGGAGGAGCAATGACTATTGGAGCCGGTGCCGTCGGCTCCCTGGCTTCAGTCAACCAAGCCATGCTTGAGTTCTCCACGTATGCAGATCTCGGCGACAAGGCGAGTGATATCATGGACGGTACATTCCAGGGCCTAGGCAACTTCTTCGACGAATACTTCCATCAAGTGCCCCCAGCCGATGCCAATTGGGTCACTCAGCCCACGTCTATCCCGCGTATTCTGCTGACGGGCAATTTTGCCTCGAGCGATATCCTTCGCGAAACAAGTGCCTCTGTGCCGCCGGCAGCTGACCTTAAAAAGTTCATTGCTGCTCCTTTGATCAATATGCTGTGGGCGAAGGACAAAATCTTTATTCTCAGGATTGACAACACATCCATCAAGGAAGCCAACTACGCCAAGAACCCGAAACATTACCATCCATGCGACGAAGACGGAGATTTCGAACCAGATTCCGATCTTACGGACATGCTGTGGTGCAATCCAGACGGCAGTGCCTTCCTTTTTGTATGATTCCCCTCCCTACTCGTGATCTGCATAGTGAATCATTGGTACTGACTCTGACTCCAACAGATGCAAGTGTCTGAGGTGTATTCCAAGAAGCTCATTCGCCCTAAAGGAATTGAAAATCTACAGGCTGACTATGGGTTCAATGCCTATGACATCGCCCGGTCTGCCTATCTTGTAGCCAGAACGTCAAACGAATGGATGGCCAAGATCAAGACGGATAGCTACTTCAACTGGGTTCCCCAGACATCCGGCCCGGATATTCCTACTTGGCAGATGATGCGATGGAATTTGCCGGTCTGTGATATGGTGGATGGTTTAGCTCGGCCTTCATCATGCACTCCTGGTTATGGATGGACACAGGTACGGTTTTACTCCTCTTAGCCACATCACATTGCTAACATCATCTACAGTGCATATATTCGACCATGGCTCTAGTGTGTGGTTTCAGTGGAGGCTGGCCGAAAGACTATACCTACAATAGCGCCTATGGGGAACCTGGAGAAGGACAGCCTTACAAGAAGGCTTTGAGTCCTGCCGAGGCGGTCTCAGCTATTGGTGGTTGACCATGAGGTATCTTGGAGGCGAGGATCTATCTCTCTTTTGTCTCTTTTCTCTCTTTTCTCTCTTTTCTCTCTTTTCTCTCTTTTCTCTCTTTTCTCTCTTTTCTCTCTTTTCTCTCTTTTCTCTCTTTTCTCTGATATCCTCTACCACTCCCCTTCATTGTGTGCTCCAATTAGTTGTGAACAGCTACTCCATTCCTATTTCATATGAAATTCCAATTCTATCCCGTTCACCTTCCTAATTTTTTGGTTACTTTTGATCAAGGTTTGTTGAAATCTGGGCAAAGAGTTGGTCATTAGCATGCAGTTCTATTTTCCTTGACTGGAACACAGGAGCCCTAATACTACAGTCATAGGCCATAAGTCCTTTCACACCCCGGCCTTTATACAATCTACATGATAAACCCGAGATACTCGGAAATAGGCAAAGAAGAGGCGAAAAACAGAGGTCAAATTAGGGCGAAAACAAAGCATAAGACGGTATACTCGCCTCGAGGCTTTCGTGTAGAGACTGTTCAATACTACATGGCACTGTATACATATTTGTGACCCCTGTTGTAGTCAACTTAACTGTGATATAATCAACATCTAAGTCGCATTAAACTGACAGGTCTTTGACTTCGATAATCATGTTGGTGAAGCGATCTTCTCTTCATATTGCTAGTCTCGTGAACACTCAACACAGCGCCTAAGTCACAGCAGGCTGCATTTTTAAAGGTTACAACATCAACTACTGTAGTTGCCATTGGATATGTGGAGCAATTTCTGCGTCTGAATTTTATCACTGTAAGAAATTTGTTCCAAAGCGCAACTGCCTGCCATCAAAAACAGCATCAATCTTACCACTGTTAATGATAAACCAACGTGCTATCACCTAAGTTATGTCACCAATACATTTTGGGTATCTTTCTATTGTTCATTCACGCGGCGGTATCTCAGGAAGATTATAAGAATATGCATTCAAAGGGAGTGCTAGATGGATTTCATACTAATCGAACCACATGACTAACCAAATTTGGCTAGTGTCGTGATCTCTATAGAGCACTAGTTTGAATAGAGATTTTCTAGCCTCAATACAGGATACTATCTCTCAATGGTCATAGTTGAATGTTGAATGTTTTGCAGAGCGTTCTCATTGTTGGACGTTATAGTAGGACCGGAGGAACCATTGTTCCGCCCGGAAGCGTCCCAGGATGTTCATGACGAGCACCTTCCCTCATTGTCTTTATATCCCAGGCCAGTCAGGCGTCTATCTTCTTTATAGCTTCAAAATCCCTTCTATGCACCTCCCTTCACGAAGACTGCCTTACTATCGTCCCCGCGATCAGAGAAAAGCTCCGCCATGCCCCATTGAGCCTGATAACTGCGGGCTGGAAACTTTTACTGTCTGACGAGCGCGCAGGCGCGCTTCTCTCTTTGCCGTATTGACTGTCGCATTACCGTATTGGCTATCATATTTATCAAAGGAAACACAAGAGCTTCACTTGTCACCTCTCCGTTCCTCCCTTCGTCATCAGCCAACCTCTTGGCCTTTGTCTTCAACCCTGACCCTGATGGAGTCCGTTGCCTCCCCAGCACCGCCGAAGCGACGGATCCCCGGTTTGCCGAATCCAGTGGTAGAAGCAGAGCAGCAAAAATGGTTATTCACCGACGAAGAGCTTGAGCGCACGCCGTCGCGAATCGACAAGATCGAGCGCGAGAAGGAAGACTACATTCGGCACCGGGCAATCGATTTCATCTGGCAGGTCAGCCTGATGCTGAAGTTGCCACCGCAGACCTCCATGACCGCCACCGTGTATATGCACCGCTTCCTCATGCGCTATTCATTGATGGGCCAATATCCGGAGGCCGGGTCCGACCTGATACACCCGAAAGTGATCGCCGCTGTGGCCCTGTTCGTCGCGTTCAAGGTAGATGAGACAATGCGACGCATGAAAGACTTTGTTATCGCCTGCTGCCGCGTCGCCATGAAGAACCCCAACCTAATTGTCGACGAGCAGTCCAAAGACTATTGGAGATGGCGTGACCTGATCTTGCAGAACGAGAGCGTCATGTTGGAATTTCTCTGCTTTGACTTGCAGCTCGAGTCGCCATACCGCGCTCTCTGGGACTATACCCTCTTCTTCGGTGTCCAGGAGAATCGCACTCTCCGCAACGCCTCCTACGCCTTCCTGAACGACTCCACCTATACAGTCGTTTGTCTACAATTCTCGCCCCGCGTTCTGGCCGCTGCAGCCCTCTACGCCGCCGCTCGTCATTGCCATGTCGCATTCCCAGACGACTCCGAAGGCCGTCCCTGGTGGGAGCAAATCGATGTCCGTCTCGACGACCTGATCCGCGCATGCACGCTGATCGTCAAGATCTACGAGCGTGTCCAGCAGAACCTAAGCAAGGGCTACCCAGACTTCGCTCTGTCAGACACAACCCCCAACGACCCAACTCGCATTTTCGACGGCGACCCGACCAAATCAGAGACCGAGCAAGCAGACCCTACACGCTCTCTCTCCGTAACAGCCCCCGACTCGGCCCAAAATGGCCGCAAACGCTCGCGCGAACCAGAGTCCCACCCTTCTTCCTCGCATGCTCTGGAACCCACCCAGAATCCCTCTTCTACGCTCAATGGGCATGGGGAGCGATCACCAAAACGCCAGCGGACGGTAACCCCGTCCCTAGAGGGGAGCCAGCCCACTCCATCTCAGTCAAAACTACCCACCTCTCGTCCGCGCATCCCCGCCGCGGCATTACCTCAATCTCAATCACAATCACAATCGCACTCTCTCCCGATCGCACCCCCACACCAAAACTCCTCGGCACAAGCAGACCTCCCCCAAAAACCAACCACAGAAGAAAACAGCGCGGAAGAAGGCGAGGTCTCTGATGAAAATGAAAAGAACAAATTCGATGCTTCGCAGAACCCTCCACTTGTCACGGCGGATTCCATTGATCAGGACAGACCCAATCCCGAGAAAGGGAAGGACGGGCCTGGTGACGATGCCGGAAGCGAAGAAGGCGAAATCTAAGTGTTTATTTAATGCTTGAGAGGGCTATGTATGGGAGGCTATGAGAACCTGTGCAGGGTAGCCACTCGGTAATTCGTCGCTTAACGAACCCTCTACTCTCAAGAATTTTATGTAGACAAGACAAGACGACTATTCATGAAATTTCAATATCAATGATTCAAACTTCAAACTTTATTCAAATTCAATCCAGTCGCGTGTGTAATCTGGATGCTGAGCTATGCTATTCCCGATAAGCAGAAGAGTAATAAAAAAAAGCAATTCGAAGGCGCAACTCCTATTGAATATGCGAACTGATAAACAGAGTAAGCGCTAAGGCTGAGAAACATAGCCACGCAGGGTAATAGATGCAAATGCAATGCATGAAGAACAATTAGCCAGAACAGTGGCTACCAGACGCATTGGCATAAATCAATTCTTTCTTTCCATGGGTCACCATCCTTTTCTCAACCCGGCTTCTCAGTAATCAGCAGTCATGACGCCCAGGCCATGATCCAGCAAACTGCTCGAGGCAACATAGCTAAATCCACCGAATGGATTGCTCTCCGCATTCATCCCTTCCGCATCGGGACCTTTGCCAGCAGGGAAATCCTGGCCGTTGGCATAGTACTCATCAAAGCCAAGGCCTGCAACGGATGGGCTAAGCGGAAGCTGAGTGAAATCAACGGAGAAGTTCTCCGCCAGAGCTGGGTCCGTGACGACGGGACATATAGGGGGGTCGAGTTCGCGGCGCTCGAGGGCTTCCCAGTCGATCTTGCGGAAAAAGCGATGCTTCTTGATGGTCTGGAGATCCTTTCCCATGTGGTAACCCAGGCGCTTGGATGGTTCCTTGCGGAGAAGGCGGGTGAGGAGGTCTTTGGCGTCGGGTCCGAGGTAGTAAGGCAGAGCGAGCTTCTGTTTGACGATCTTCTCTTGGAGTTTCGCGTGGTTGTTTGCGCGGAAAGGTGGCGAGCCGGTGAGTAGGTCGAAGCCCAAGGCGCCGAGGGACCACCAGTCGCAGGCTTTGCCGTAAGGTTTTCCTTGAATGACTTCCGGGGCCATGTATTCGATTGTGCCAAGAAGAGAGTTGCAGCGGTCATCATCGTTGAGGGCAATTTTGCTAAGTCCAAAGTCTGTGAGGAGCAAGTGGCCCTGTTGGTCGAGGAGGCAGTTCTCGGGCTTCAGATCGCGGTAAAGGACGCCGACGTTTTGGTGCAGGTGTTCGAACGCAAGTACTACCTCGGCCATGTAGAAAGCAGCCGCGTCTTCTTCAAACATGCGTTCCATGGCGAGGTGGTGGAAAAGTTCGCCGCCCTGCGCATATTCTAGGATCAGGTAAAGCTTTTCATGGTCCTGGAAGGCATAAAATAGTTTGACGACGAATGGGTGGCGGTTGACACTCTCCAGAATCGTGCGTTCGGTCTTGGTCTGCTCGACCAGTTTCTTGTGCACAGTGATCGAAGCCTTGCGGAACTGCTTCTGCGCATACAGCTTGCCGGTGACGACGTGGCGCACCAACAGAACTGTTCCGAACGAGCCCTTGCCGAGGCAGAGGATAGGCTCAAAGTCGTCTGCGGTCATTTTCCGGCACAGCTGGCTGCGCAGATCCGCACTCACACCAGCGGCATCGACGCCGCGTTCCTCCGGTGTCTCGGGTTCCACAGCGTCAGAGCTAACAAAGTCCTGGTCCAGAGGCACCTCATAGCTCGTCAAAATCTCGGTTTGATCGCTGTCTGAGAAAGCACTGACAACACTTGGTGTCTGGGAAGCAAGTCCGCTTGTGGCACCGGTATTGTCGGCCAAGCTCAAGTTATTAAGCTGAAGCTTCAATGCGCTGACTCCATGGCCTGTAGACGGCTGCACCAAAGGGCTACCACCACCTAGAGAAGTAGGAGGACGAGATGGAGCACGGGAGCTCGCGGCGGAAAAATCCGATTCTTCATCGCCGGATGCCAGAGGGGTAAAGCCGCGCACAGTGGAGCAAGCAGGTCCGACCTGATTCTTTTTCTTATTCTTTCGGCGCTGCGGCTTCATATGCGGATTGAGGCCGGGTTTCGCAAAGTCGCCAAATCCATTGTTCATCCGGGGAGCTGACATATTACACATGTGCGCATCGGGGCGACGGTGATTGGTCGGAATATCCATGGAAGACTGTGCGAGATCAGCCTGCGGGCTGAATACGTCCGCAACTGACAGGTCGTCGTTAACGGTGGAAGAAGGCATTGTGCCTTTGTATCACTGCTCGAAAGTTTCGCGATTGAGGAAATTCCCGGGTTCAGGTGGAAGCACCGGCGATAACCGAGGCTGCGCAATTGACCTTGCGCGGTTGTATGAAAGGGTAGGAAGGTATCCGAGATACCTATCCAGCAATTGCTGTTCACATAGATCGTCAGCCTCGGTCTTGAACTGTGAGGAATGTATGGAGGGGTAAGTGAGGCTTTTCTTCCCCCACCAATAAAAGCAAAGATAAAACCAATAAAAATTCTTAATCAGACTTTTTAATAGAAAAAAAGTTAGAAAGACTTACTTCAACTTGTAAAGCTGTTGAACATCAGAGCACGGTTTTCCTTCTGTGCTCAAACCAGTCGATCAGACCAGTCCTCTCGAGCAGGTTTACCGTCCGCCCTTCTTCAGGACGGACCTGGGACCCCTAGCCAAATCACCTCACGGGCGGAGGTGTCGAAAGCCACGGTGGTAAGGGAAATGGAAGGTGCAGTGGAAAAAGAGTGAGAAGTAGGAGCCAGGTTCAGAAGGGATAGATCGAAATTCGCCAAGGAGGCAGTAAGCGAAATCAAGGGAGTTTGAGATGGGCACATAGAGAATAATGATAAAAGAAGAAAGAGGCTTTCCAGGTTCCCTCAGAAAGTGAGGAAGTTCAACAAAGCATGCAGAAAATCATCAGATTTGAGGCGCAAATCCGGGGGCTGAAGCCACTAGGCCCAATGCAGCTTTCACGTGCCAGATGATGACCTAAGTTGATTGGTCACCTCCTCTGTATAGAACCTTTTATAGATTCGACCTTGTTTTATTCTTTTATTTATGGGATATCTATAACGTTATTGTCTATACCAATCAGTCAGTGGTCACCTCGACCAAGTTTTAGTCCGGTGTATCCACAATTGTTAAGTCATTTACTTCCTCGGCACATCGTGAGTATCAAAGAACTCCTTCGAGCGAGTAATCTCGACACCAGACCTCCCCACAAAAGCAAGAGCACTGGGCTTCTCAACTTTAACTGTAACAAACTCATTTCCAAAGTCAACAGTAACAATGCGAGCAATAAACGTAGCCAAGGTCTCAACAGTCTGGAACGAAGTCTCCTCAACTTGCTACAACCCAAAACAAAGTCAGCATACCATATCCCAAACCACATCTCAAGGGAAGAAGTATAAGGAGGAGAAGAAGGAGGAGAAGAAAAGAAGAAACCACAAACCTCAGCAACAGCCCTCGTAACAGCCTGATAACTCTCCACAACCTTTGACCCCCAGACCCCCAACCCCTCTCCGCGAAACACCAACCCAACAACAACAGCCTGCTTCTCGACCCTCTCATGAGCATTAACTCCAAGCACAGCATGGCACCTAATCCCCTCAATACGGAACTCCTCCTCCAAAACAACAGGACACCTCACGCCGCCATCCCTCTCCCCCCAGACAGTAACACTCCGATACCTCAAACCCCCCTCAGCCCTCAACAAAGCCTTTCCAAAACACAATTCAACCTCACACTCCCCATACCCATCCGAAACACTCTCCTCCGCCACGCGCGCGGCCGTCTCCTCCAACATCCCCAATCCAGCGTTCGCAACGATAGCAGCCGTAACGCGCGGATCTAGTCCAACCGCATAGGTATCGTTATCCAGATCTGCGCACCGGGTCCCAGCCACACTGACCATGTGTTTGTGTGGATGGTCTGCTGACGTGGAGAGTTGTGCCATGTTGCGCACGTCGCTGTCTAGGCGTCTGAAGAGCTTGCCGTAGTCCAGTGTTAGGGAGACATTGTCTGTTTCTGCGGCGGCGATTATCGATGAGTATGAGAGTGTTAGGGTTGCGGTGCAGGGTTGGGATTTTCCGGTTCGGTGCCAGGCTTCTGGGGCTGCGGGGAGGGTGAGGGAGATGTCGCGGAGGCGGACTGTGTCGAGGGTTTGGGGGCGTTGGCGGAGGGTGATTGGCGCTTGCGTGGTAGTCATCTTTGCGGTTGTTGATTTTGTGGTTGTTGAATTGGCTTGGGTTGGAGGTGTTGGTAGCTCCAGGGTTGAGGTGAGGAGGGGAGGTTTTTTTTAGCGGGGAAAGTGGCCCGGAAGCGGGTGCGGACAGATCAGGACGGCTGTGTCCGCGTTTAAGTCCATGGTAGGTTTTCCTTCTCGGTGCTTTTATATGGTTGGATGTTAGTATTCGCCGACCATACCTTTGCGAGGTGATAGATAACAAACCGGGCTGGGCTGCAATCTGTAGCGGAAACGGTTTCCGCATTTCAAGATATATATCTCGGTCTACTGATACTCTTTGCTTCACGTCATGGCAGACCATTAAATTAGAACATTACTTCCACCTACAGCTGAGATCCTGCGAGTAGACCAGATTAGAAGATTAAATTGTCAAATACTAGCACAAACAAGAGTGCAGTATGAAAATATGAAAATATGAAAGTATGAATAAAATGTTTGAAAAAAAGGACCATGGGGCGGAGACCCCATATGTCCCCCACGGCAACCTCAACTATCTGCAAGAACGAAGGATACGAAACACTCGCGCTGTCCAGTAGAAATAATAGAGATTGAAAATAAGAATAAAATCCGGCCGTGAGAACACGCTGAACGACACCGTGGCAGGGGTGGAAAAAAATCATGACACCATGAAATCAGTATGACACGTTGCGGGTATTTGGCGAAGGGAAGTCACTGAAAGAGAAAACAGAGCAAGGAATCATACTGTATGCTGATATGCTGATATGCTGAAATGCTGAAACATTCAATCAAACCTAGCACGGCGACTACCACTACCAGTAGCGGGGACGGTCGTAAGGGACATAGTCACTTCTTGGCGGGGTGCGAGGACGACCATAGGCCCGCGCAGCTAGGTAGGGATCATCATAGTGGCGCGGGGGTGGAGGCGGGTAGGGGTCTTCGTAGGGGCGACGGGGAGGGGGGTAGTCTTCCATCCGCGGGCGAGGGGGAGTCCTGCGGGCATAGCCATCTCGTTCATAATAGTCCCGGCGCATGGGGATCGGGGACCGTTCACGGTAGTGATCCCGGGGACTGTAGCCACGAGGAGGAGGAATCCGGCGGTCGTACTCATCCATGGGAGCCGGGTAGGGGCGACGTGGGGAACGGGACCGGTAAGGGTCGCGGACGGGACGTTCCTCAAAGCTTTGGATCTGGGAAATGGTGAGAGGCGAGTCCTCCGGGTCCGAGCCAGGTTGGGCGCTTACATCGGCGACGCAGGTGACGCGCGATCCTTTGAACTCTCGTTGGTCCAGTTTCTCCACGGCGGTTTTGAGGTCGTTGGCGGTTTCGAATTCCACAAACCTTGTAATTTTGTCAATGGAGTTGGCATGGGGGCTTTCGCTGGAATTTGGTAACCCACCCTCGGCCCTGTTCGCGGCCTGTCTCAGAGTATACCACGTCCAGTCCGGACTGGCGGGCAAAGTCTTTCAAGTCCTAGATAACGTAAGGTGAGTCCAGGTCCAGGTAAAAGAGTATCCAGGAGGTCCATGTGGTAGAAAGGAAAACAAGAAGTCCATGGCCTGTCCGGGGAGGTATATCCAAATGGCCACACTACGTTGGAGTCCAGAATTCCCCGGGAAAGGTCTGAAGTCTTGATGAGTAGGCAAGGGGAATGTCTCAGATCTCTTGGCAAAACGAAAAGCCCAAGACGCATTTTCAGATCACCAAGAGACGAGCGCTAGCATGTTAGTGCCCGAGGATCGAGGATTTGTCTCAGTGGCCATGATAACGACTTGGATGTGGGCTGAATGTGGAAATAGGCTCAAGGGATCTACACCAGGAGCTCCGGGGAGGAATGGACATGGGCTGCTAACCTGCCAACTTGTTTCTGGAAGACCGGAGATCTGCATCCGGAATACCGTGCGACGTGGACGCGGGAGATTGTTGCGCTCTTGGGGTCCAGGGAAGGCTTCCTTGCGTCGGGGACCACGGGCAAACTGAACGGTGAGACGCTCGCCTTTGAATTCACTCCCATCTGTGTTGTTGATAAGCAAAAAGTCAAGCTAGCGAGTAGGGCGTTGGAGCATACGGAACGCTGCAGGAAAGAAACAGTTAGCCAGTCAGCAGAGGTAGGCGGGGTATTGTTTGTTATTACCAGGCACAATATCCCGAGCATCCAGTGCATCCTCATATTCAATAAAGCCAAACCCGTTCATTAGCTTGATCTCGGTGATCTTACCCGAGCCATGGCTGCTGAAGTGTTCCTCGATGTCTCCTTTGGTGACTGTAAGAAAAAAGGTAACATGACGGTTAGCGTGACAATACTAAAAACAAATCCGAGGGCGGCCGAGGCGATAGCTGTTCCGTGGTAGCTCCAGCTCCCAGTGGACCCGGGAGGGAGGGACCCAGTCACAAGAGACAGAGGGGTCCAAGGCAGAAGAGGACTCTGGATGCCAGGAGGGGAAGACATCTGGCGATCATGCATGGAGGTGCGTTCTCAGGGCAATGGACAGTCAGGTGTGGGTGCCAGCATACCGTTGCGGGGAAGGTTCCCAAGATAAAGGCGAGTGGATGACACCTCAGTCATGGCTGATCTGAAGGACTGGTTTGTTGGAGAATAAAGAAAGAGATGGCCAAAGGGAAGTCTCCGGGTTATGAAAAAGCCCAGAACGTAGGCGCCTTGGATGGAACGGATGCGAGTGATTGCAGGCGCGTAACCGCCCAATAAACAAGCGGGCCGTGAGAGGTCAGAGCGATGATACCACTTCAGCTGACCCGATACTAGCGAGGACCAGATGAGAAGAGAGAGGGAGAGCAAAAGCGAGAGGGGGAAGAGAAAAGGGAAACCGTGCTCTGGCGGTGGACGACGAAACCCAGGCCGCCTCACTTTTTCCACAGATCCACGTGGTCCCACCGTGGTTGATCTACTTTATTTGTTAAGATTAAATGTTTGATGTTAAAGATGAAAACAACGTATACAGTAGATGTATAGATGTATAGATGTACATTTACAATTAAAGGTATGTGAATCCTTGGACCTCCACCTGCATTCCACGGTTCTGCCCCATGGGGCGGGGAATCCATTTTTTTTGGTACTTTGGCTTCCATATACAAACTCCCAACCTCAAAACTCACTTTTTTTCCCCCTGAAACTAAATCTTACGTCAACGTATACTTGGGGCCCTCTCCTCCTTGAGGTGTCTGCCAGTTGATGTCTTGTGTAGGAACCTTGATGTCACAGGTCTTGCAGTGAATGCAGCTGGGAATGGTCAGCATCTAGATCTCTCTCATGTCGGAGATAAGGACTTACTTCTGTGCGTTGATCTGGAACCGGACACCGTGCTCCTTGCTGGGGTCCTCAACGTATTCGTATACACCTGCAGGGCAGAATCGGTTCTCCAGACCCTTGTACTTGGGCCACGCCAGATCCTTGTGCTTATCCCAGTCCTCTACCTGCAGGTGAACTGGCTGGTCTTCCTCATGGTTGGTACCCGTGCGGCTCACGCTGGTCAAGATATCGAAGCTGATTTCTCCATCGGGCTTGGGGTATTCAATCTTTTCGTATGCAGACGCGGGCTTGGTAGCTGCGGCGTCGGTACCGTGGTGGCTGAGAGTCCATGGCACCTTACCCTTGAAAATGTATGCTTCCAATCCGGAGTAGAGCAGTCCACCAAAGAAGCCGAATGGAGAGTTGAATGAGGGCCGAATGTTGCGCACCTCGGACAGCTCCTTCCAGATGGACGAATCGCGCAGGGACTTCTCGTAGTCGAACAAGAACACGGTCCCCTGGTTCTCGCTTTGCAGCGCGCTAAAGGTAGCCTCGGCTGCCAGCATACCCGACTTCATTGCGGTGTGAGTACCCTTGATCTTGGGGACGTTCAAGAAGCCGGCCGTATCACCGATCAAGGCACCACCAGGGAATGCGCACTTAGGGATCGACTGGAAGCCACCCTCATTCAATGCGCGGGCACCATATGAAATGCACTTGCCGCCCTCGAGAACCTCCTTGAACATGGGGTGGTGCTTCATCTTCTGGAACTCCCCGTACGGCGAAAGCCACGGGTTCGGATAGTCCAATCCAACCACCAGACCTATACTGACCATGTTGTCGCCAAAGTGGTACATCCAAGCTCCACCGTACGTATCCTTGGGGAGAGGATATCCCATCGAGTGGGTAATCTCACCAGACTTGAACTTCTCAGGCTGAATCTCCCAGATTTCCTTGATTCCGAGTCCATATGTCTGGGGCTGGCTGTCCCGACGGAGGTCGTATTTCTTCATAACCTGCTTGGTCAGACTGCCGTGGCAGCCCTCAGCAAGCAGTGTGACACGGGCGTGGAACTCCATTCCGCGCTCGAATGTATCCTTGGGCTTACCGTCCCGGCCCAGTCCCAGGTCGTTGGTCGCCACACCCTTCACCGCACCATCGGAGCTGTAGACAATCTCGCTAGCAGCGAAACCGGGGTAAACCTCGACGCCAACCTCTTCCGCGCGTTCTCCCATCCACTTGGTCAGCTCGTTCAAACTGACAATGTAATTTCCTTCGTTGTGCATTTGCGGCGGCGTAGGAAGGGGGTATGATCCGTTCTTGGTCAGGAAGCGCATCTTGTCGCTCTTGGCGGGGGTCGCACCCTCGAACCGCGAAGGGTTATCCTCAGACAGCCAGTCGGGGAGCAGCTCATTGAGAGCGGTTGGCTGCAAGACGTTTCCGGACACGATGTGGTCGCCCAATTCACCAGACTTCTCCAGTAGGAGAACTCGGAACTCTTCGTTGCCTGCTTCGTTCGCAAGCTGCTTCAATCGAATGGCGGCGGCGAGACCGGCGGGACCTAGAGTGTATCAAGCTTAGTTGGGGTGCTTAGGTGACAGCCAATGCGAGTACATACCACCGCCGACAATGCATACATCTACTTCATCGGACTCCCGCTCGATGGTGCGAGGATCGAATTCGCCACCCTCATCTGCGACTCGTCGTGATAACGATTGTGAGAAGGCTCGTGTCTGGGGTGGCGAGGTGACGAATG